AGATCTTGGGCTCTAATCTGAGGAGAGGAAATATATTGTAAAAAGAAAATAAACTAGTTTTTTTGTTAAAAGACTGGAGAGAGTATTGATTAAAAGACTATATATAGTCTTCCAACTATTGCTTTTCACTAGCAAAAACACCACCCTACAGACAGCTGTTTGTGCTAGTAGTTACTGATTATAGTATTTATACTTCATTGAAAAAAATATAAAAAAATATTATTTTCTAAAAAAGGATATATTTGGGGAGAAGTACTGCATGGGAAAGTGTTTGGATTGTGCTATGAGATGCATCAAAATGATTCAATGTAAAGAACTCAAAATTTTCATAAATTTTGCTGATATAAACTATAATGCTTTTATATATTAAAATTGCTACCCTTTATTGAAAAAACAATTTTTAAGAACTACAATTTTTTAGTACTATATTTAAGAATTAGATCAATAAAGATATAATCAAACTCTTATGTGCAGTTATAGTAAAAGTTATGTTCTTGTTGTTATGACAGTAATTTAATTTGAAATTATGTTCTGTTATAAAGAAATAGTTGTTGCACATGCTGTAGTTATTTTTCAAATTGACTGAATCTTGAAAACCCAAAGTGTGAATTTTTTTTTATGGATTTTTTGTGTGTGGTGATTTAATAGATGGCACCACATTTCATAAGCCTCAATCACCACTTCTAGTATTGAGATCTTGTATTTCAGCATAACAGATGGCACTATTGTATTTATTAATTTGATCATGTATATAGATATAGATATATAGAGGCCATGCCATTGCTCACTAAAGTAATGTGATAACAAATGAAAAGATTGTTCAAAGAGAGCCAATTTAGTTCTCATTGTCATACCATTAGTTTTATAATAAAGATTGCAATCAAAAAGAAAATGATTCTTTTGTTGCAAAATTCATCAGTTTTGAAAACACATATTTACAAATTCTCAAATCACCAGGATTATTAAGAATCAAATAAGCATTTAAGTACAGTTTCATCTAAAGGTATATTTATATACAAAGACTCACATCAAATTAGCACAATATACATTTCAAAGTATATTCATTAGCTGTAAGTGTTTAAGAGATCAACTAAAAGCCTAGCCAAAGTGTGATCATAAGTTCCAATACTGTACGAAATTTTCAAATTTCATCTTGTTTGGAATCTTAAAATATAATATAAAAGTAAAACTTTCTTTTCAGTGTTACTTTTTGAACCAGGATTGCTAAGTCTGCATATTTCCAACAGATTTTGCCTTTTTTTTTATCTTACTTTACTATAAATGTTCTTGCTTGAACTTTGATTGTGCATATCAATAATAAAAAAAACAACAGCTATGTATATTTATTGTTAAAATGGGGTCTCTCTAAATCTCCCCGAGTAAATTTTATAGAGGTATATAGTCTAGCCTAGTTGTCAGTTTAAAAATAAAAAGCATGCCACTGAGTATAACCAATTACACAGGATTTATTTGTGTATTTGTTAGAGTAATAGTGGTGCTTGTGCCACTTCTGGCCTTTGGTGGCTGCACAATATGAGTTTGGTTCCAAAGAGTAAAATTTGTATTGTACTAGTACTGTTATTCAGACAGATATGAGAAGCATCTACCAAGACTTATTCTGTTTTAGTTTGTTGTTTTTAAAAAATGGCTTATAATCCTGTCTTATTATATTGGTATGTTATTTGCTGCTATTTTGTGTTACTAGAGCTTTTTAACAAAACTCAATTACTTAATCTTAATTACTTAAGAACGGGTTTGTTTTAAGAGCCAATAAGGATTGTTGCTGTTGAGAACCATGGGAACCCTTCTTAGGACACACTTTCAATAATTAAAAATCTGGTAGTTCTATAAAAAATTTTTACATTGTTGTCATTTTAAATTGGTGTGCTAATTGTTTTTTCTGACATTGTATAATAATTTTATTATTATGTGTTTCAATGAAGTTTTAAAGTTTAAGATGCTAAATCATTTAGTTGATTTTTATAGAGTAAAAGGTTCTGTGGACTGTCATACAAAATATTTAAATAAAAAATTATCTAATTTCAAAATTTGACAATTCTTTTTTTAACCTTATGATATTGTCTAGATTAGCACAATTGAAGCCGAAACCCTAAAATTAAGAACACCTGGTATTATCTTTAAATGTTTACATTTGTTCAATAAATTTATATGTAATTTATTTGTAGAATATTTCTGATGGAACTGTTTAGCATTTGTAAACTGAATTAGAATAGGTTTATTGTAATTTTTTTTTCGTTAATAACATCAGCAATAGACTTATCTTAGGAGGTGTCAAACAGATAACATTTTTTAACTAGATGAACTAGTAACCTCATTTTAAACACTAAGAAATAGTATAGCCCATCCCATTATAAAAGGTAACAGCCTAGTTAAATTTGGATTGTAGAAATTTAGAGCAGAAAGACAGGGTCACCAATTGGTACAATCACAGTCTGCTAAAACCTAAAATGTCAATTAGAAATATTTCACAAGCCAATTATGAACAGTCTCTTGTAGCTACCATTTATTTCAAGAAAAGCATTATTGTTTTTGTTACACTTAAAAAAAGGTTTCAAAGGTCTTCACAAACTAAACCAATTACCAATATTTCAAGTTTCCTTAGATTTGCCTCGTATTTTACCATTGAAATGTAAATTAGTGATCAATGTTCTGTTATTTGTTTAATTTTCTGGTGTGGGATATAACACTGGGCAACAACAAAATTGCTACTCGAGAAAAAACTCAAGTGATTTGGGGTAATTTCATGATGCTGATTTCAAAAATATAGTTACAATTTGTCCAACACATTTAGATTTTGAGTTGTTGTAATATCTCAATATTTTAATAGCACTGTGTGAAATACCATGCAATCAACTCAATACGATAGATTTATACTGTGACAGTTTAATGGGTAAAAGGCATACATTAGTATGGTGATGTATTAGTGTAAAATTTCAAATATATTGTTCATATGTGCTACTAGTTCTTGATATAATTGTAGCAAATTGCACCACATTTGCTTTATTCCCACACTCACCTGCTTCACATGGGAATCACAAAACCATCGTGCTCAGTTTACTAAAACATTCAAGAAGTCCCTCAACTGATCCTCTCACTCACTCAGTAGGTCACTTCGATTTGCTCCATACACAGTCAAAACAAAGTTGAATCTTCCTCCTTGCATCATACCTGCGATATAATCAAATTCTGCAAAACTTTTTTTTTTTTAACTATAATTCTGTAAACATAAATTCTTTTATATTTTTTAGAAAATCATTTAAAATGCTGACTCCCTCCAGTTCATGTAAAGTCCAAAAATGTAAAAATCACCCAAACAGTTTCTGCTACATTTGTAGAAAATATATTGCAGTTTTATGAAGGAAAAATATCAAACACGAGGTAAAGGTAGCTTACTGTTACTATTTTGGGTGTAAAATTGGTGTCTAAGAAAACATGGGTTCCACATGTATGTTATACAGTTTGCACATCTGGCTTGACACAGTGGCTGAATAAGAAGAGAGCAAGTATGCCATTTTCATTTCCCATGATATGGCGTAAGCTCAAAGATCACCTAACTGACTGTTATTTTTGCATGACTATTATTTCTGGATATTCAGGCAAAACTAAACAATACATTGAATATCCAGATATTGTATCTGCAGTGAAACCAGTACCTCATGGGGATGGTCTTCCAGTTACACATCTACAAGTGAATTGTGAAACAGAAGAGTTATCCTGTGAAGAAGACAATGAATCATCTTCATCTAGTAATTCTATTCTTGTAGCACCTCAACCTAAACTGCCTCATCTGATCACACAAGAAGAGCTAAATGATCTGATTCGTGACTTGTCTCTATCAAAGCAACATGGATAATTTCTTGGCTCTACTTTACAGTAATGGAATTTATTAGTTCCAGGAACAAGAGTTTCAATTTACCAAAGTCACCATCAATGTCTTGCTTCTCACTAAAGCATGTAAGTAAATTTTTAGTTTCTGTACAAATGATGGTGCACTAATGGAAGAATTGGGTACTGAATGTCATCATCAAGAATGGAGATTTTCTATTGACTCATCTAAAGTTAGTCTGAAAGCTATACTTTTGCACAACGGGATTACTAAGTCATCAATTCCTGTTGCTCATGCTGTGAACATGAAAGAAACTTATCAAAGTGCAGATTATACATTCTTAAATGCAATTTTCAATGAATAAATAGTTATTACAGAAAAAGTTATTTTCATGGTTATAAGAACATATTTAACATAATTTGAAAACTAAGGATGATTAGTAATTTTCAACATGATTTTTAGAATCAGTATCATCAAATTACTCGAAAACTGTTGCATTTTTTCCAATAAAAGAGAAGAATGTTTTTGTTGCCCAGTATAATCAGAGGTTACATACATATGTATTAAAGCAATGTTAAGTTTCATTGTGGATGTAGTTGTGTAAAATTTGCAAAACTTTGGTCATGAAAAATGTATTTCCCAGATCTCTGTAGATTTCAAAATTGTATGGTGCAGCACAATTTGTATTTTCCTTTAAAGTTGCTATGAATAGGATGTTTCATGATATGCATTGAAGAGCATAGAAATTATAATAAAGAAGTATGTAGTGGAAGCAGATATGAATTTTTGGTCATTTGCTGTATTATTATTATGATGTATTTAGTAAGTCCTTTTTTTTTGTTTACAAAGTGGTTTGTTTACCTTGTTTTTTTATGAATGTATTTTGAAAGCCATTTTTGAGTACACTTCTTGACAAAGAATTTAACTGAAACCACTCACACTAAAAGATTAGATGAACATGAACAGTTAGACTTCACATTACTGACCCCCACAAAAATCTTCCATCAGTTATTTTTGTTTATCTGGCTGATTTTGATAGTTACAGCAGTAAAACTTAACTTAAGTCTTTATTATTTTATAATAATAAATTTGATTAAGTTATGTTTGTGTATTTTCAGAGCAATATGCCACTTTACAATAATTTATTTCTTAGGTATTTAGTGACAGGATCTGCAGACAGAGTTGTGAAAGTTTGGGATATCCGTAACTACAAATGTCTCCAGTCTTACAGAGTAGGAGGGCCACCTGTTCAATTGACGTTCAGTCAGAGAGGGCTGTTGGGAGTGGCAATGGATAATACTGTTGAGGTTTGCAAGTCTTTCTGAGAAAATAATTTTTGTTTTAGAGAAAATATCAGCAAAAGTAGTTTTTATATTCAGATGCTAATGACTTTTCCCTCTCTGATGTATAAGTATGCTTGGTGTTTCACTTTTATATCACAAATATGGAATTTTTCATAATATTTAGACCATAAACACTAAAAGCAGTAACATGAGTGTAAAAAACAAAAAACTAGTTTACTGATTTGTTCAGTACTTCTTCAAAAGCTTCATGCATACAATAAAATAACTTCACTTGGCATTGTGTCATAGAAGTCCTGAAATACAAATGTTATTTTAACACAAATATTCAGAAGAATGTTTGCAAGCAATTTGTTCTTCTTTTCTAAAATTCAAATAAAAAATATTTTTGAGGATGTTGTGATCTATCATTTTTAGAAAAGATTGAAAAGTAGTAAGGAAGCTTTTCATAAACTTTAAAAAGCATGGTGCATCAGAAGTGTTAGCAATGACTGTGTCTATCATTTAATTAAAGTTCATATAAGCTTGCAGGTAGATTAGAGAAATCATTAATGACTTCATGTAAACAACTTGTGATATATATGTTTCATGAGGTACGCTTGTGAGTAGTCTGTGCATTATATAATTCGAAACTGTAAGGTAAGCTGCATATCCACCACTTGATTTATGACTAGTATGGTGAAAATATTAGTTAGACACAGTTCAAAGGACAATAGCATAGGCTACAAAACCTTTTTAGCACCTGACACTGAGTTTTTATTCCCAAGAAGATTGAAAACTGGCACCCTGCTATTGACCTATCATCTATGAATCACTTTCTTGTTGTTCCTTGATTTTGAATGGATGGCTTTATTAGTCTGCATTCAGATATCTTTCTCCTGGGAAATGGATGTCCATTTGTCCTGTGTCCCATCATTTCTTCTGGTTTGTCCACAATGGACATGTCATTCATTTCTATGTCTTTCCTTTTATCCTGGTCATGGTCACTTATATTTTCAAATAAATCTTGAGTTCCTTCACTTGGCACATGCATATTTTCCATTTTTTATATGGATGACTGACTTCTCCTGGCTCTGTGATGTCAGGATTCGGTGGTTGTTACCTTCACTTTTGAGGCTTCTCGCCTGTGTTGGCTGGTCAAGATTTCTAAGTTCATTTTGACTCCCATGCAGGGCAAGCTCAACCCTATCCCATGCATCTTTACAACATGGAGACTTTGGTTTCTAGGGCACTTTTCTTCCTGCTTGGAAGGCTCATTTGCTTCCGAGAAACCCTTATCCTCTTCGGCCATATGCACATATGTCCTATTCAATAGGCTCAGAAGGATCAGTGTATCATGTCCTGTGATCCCTTATCCATGCTAATTTAGGGTTAATTTGACTGAGTCACGTGACCTTATGTACTCGTTTAAAGTTGACATAAATTTAATACTTATAACTCTCTATATATTGGGTATATCTTAACAAAATTTGGCAGTCTTTCAGTTAATATTACAAGTCTTTCACATACAAAAAGTCATATTTCTTAGTGAAATATTTTTAATAAAATAAAATAAAATTTTGTCCATGAATATATTGAGTATTTGTTTTGAATAGTCCTTGTGCAAAGTAATTTTCATGTTAAAATTAAAAATACTTTTTGTCATCTCAAAAATCTCAAATTTCCTTTGTGTAATTCCTAAAACCTCCTAAATGCATTTCAAACGTATAGTTTATATGTTATTTTCTCTACCTTTATCTCAAAATGGAATCAGTCAATTCGACCAACCTTGTAACAACCCAAAAAAAATCGAAATAAACCTAAATTAACCTTCTTTTCTTTCTAGTATGACTTCAAATTTTAACATGAAACTACATTCGTTTATCCTAAGTAGCTCTAAGTTCGTAACATTGTACATCTATTTATAATTAAATATTATTGTTTTATTGCCCTTTAAACCATGTGTAACTGCTATCCACACCATTATAAGTTGTAAATCACTCGGGGGAACATGCAACTCACGTAACGCTATCGAATTACATTATCCACAAGCTGCTTGAGTGCGTGCTTTGTGAACAATTTTAATTATTTTATTATTATTACTTATTTTACCTATTCTAGTCTTAAATAATTTAAAAAGATCCATACTTTTAATTTTAGTTACTTTTATACTAATAAATAAAGAGTAAATATGAAAAACAAGAAATAAAGTACTTAACCAATCTTCTTTTTTCTTGCCCTCGATTGTCGACGAGAGTTAAGCCTGATTTTTTTTAGTGATTATAGTAAAGCACTTAACGATTTTTATTTACTTAAATAATACAGCAAAGAATATAGATTAATAACATGCAAAAGGTAGACAAATTCACTTACTTCTAATAATTTTCCTGGATTTCTAACTATGCAATTGTGAAAGAGAGGATGTGACAGGAGGGGTCTGATTTTCTCTTTGATAGCCCTGTAACCAAACAAAATTGAAGGCTATAAAAATTATGGTCTGTTTGAGCAATAATAATTTTATAGAGAGTATTTTACATTTAATTTCGTAAATTTTCGAGGGGTGATGGATAAAATAGGGATGATGATATGCTAAGATAAATGTGTCAGGTGTGACACGAGTGGAAATTCAGGATTTTTAAAAATATTTCCTTTTAGAATTAAGAACTTAAAACTTGTATACTATTAAAATATGGATTATTAGTTAAGATTTTATGCAATTTTAATTGGTATAACGTGAACAAAAAGTAGTTTAATAAAATTTTGAATGTAAGACACTAAAACCTAGTGTCATGCGCAGTAAAGGGTACCCAGGCCTATAGGGTTAAAACTTTCTCCCTTTTAGTAAGCCATCCCAACTTGACCACTCTAGCTGTTGATGCTTTGAGCCAGGATTGTTCTTATCTCTTCTCTAATATTTACCCTCCACTTTGCTTTCTTTCCCATGTACACTCTATCATTCAAAACACCCCCCTTATTGAATTCTTTTGATTACTCGGCTGTGGCCGATTCAGTCATGTTTTACATTTCTGCTTCACTCATTTGACTATGGAACTTCTTCTTCTCCCTCTTTGGAGATTCCTCCTTTGTAAACCTTTCTTTTACCTGTTCTCATGGACCTCTTTAATCCTTTTGAGACGGGTCATGGGTGAAAGGCCATCTCATCTAATTTATTGACTCTCATTCAAAATTTTATTGAACTACTATTTCATGAATTTATGTCAATAAGTTTCGTACCAAACTGTATATTACAATTCAAATTTTAGTACTATATATTACTCAATTTCTTAATTTAAAAGTAAATATTAAAAAAACATCTCTGTGTGTCACGTGGTATGTTGAATGCAGCACTGGTTCAAATTAGATGTTTGTGATGTCAAAATACTAAGTTTATAGTTTCATATGAATTAGGAACTCAAATTACTGATATTGACAAGCTAGAATACAAAATAAGAACCTCTTATATTTTCTATTTGCTAAGATATTGCTCATGTAATAAATCACACAGTGGCACCCTGTCCACGTCTTTCCATTCTTGGAAATGCTCACTCATACACACTTACTTCTATATATATATAACATGAATAACCAATCGGAAGCTCAGAATATCCCACTAGTGGCTTTCTCAACCATTCTAATGTGTTTGGATGCCATCTCTTTCTTTCGAACCAAGATTTCAAGGAGGTAGGTGATGTCTTTAGTTTGCTAGAAATTTCATATTTTTAGACTGAAATACAGTTCAGTTACTAAGCTTGATAAATTATAGTGGAATTCTATGGTACTGATATAGTAATTTATGATTTTTTAGTTATTCAACTGTATATATAAAACCTAAAAAAATTATTTCATATCCTCCATGTGTGAAATTTTTAAAGGCTTAGTAGCCTATGTCAAGTAGCAACAGAGTACAAAGATCGTAACTAGAAGAGATAATTGTTTGCTTTACTGTTCTATGTTTTAAGAAAAATATGCTTTAGAACTTATTTCAAAATAGCAATAATCTATATACATATATAATGTATAATAATTGAAATGTGACTGTACTTTACAAAGTACTAGTCTACTAAAACACAGCCAAGACAGGTTACTTTGTACAGACCTAAGGTCACCTTTATGTTATTTGATAGAGTAACATGAGTGCACATAAGCTGTGTCATTGTAACTTCTGTATCGTTAGCCAGGCACGGGTGAAAGGTCAATATAATAAATATATATAAATGTATGATGTTATGAGATTTAAGCTATTTAGTCTAAACATTTATGTTTTCGTGTTATAATTTGTGTTCATTCTAGAATGAAAGAAGCATAATTTATATTTATTTTATAATTTTTTCGCATGATAGGCAACATGAGAAAAACATTACTTTACAAACCTTAAGACTTAATAAAATAAACTGATATTTTGTGTATGAAAGCATTGTAATGTTTACTGATAATCTGCCAAATTTCGTTAACATTTGCTCACTGATTTAAAAGTTATAACATGAAAACTATAACGAGCACGAAATGGTTATGAGGTTGGGCCCAGAAACCGAGCCCATGCTGAAAGAGTTAATGATACATTGTTATTGTTATAGAAGTGTAAGATCTGATGGTTTTCAAATGCCAAGTGTCCCTTCTTTCGTACGTTATCTCACAATCTTTCTAGATCTGAAGTTTAAAGGTTAAGTTAAAATGAGTGAACTTCAGTGTCTAGTAAATGTAATCCTGGTTTCCATAATCTTCTCTATTGTAGACACGCAAGTCACCATGACACACTCACATGTAACAAAGGCTTCAACATTCATCAAAACAAAATAAAAAATAAATAGAATATACAGCTAAACTAAATAATACTGAAATAAATGTCACTGAAGCAAATGCAGGTACAGTATGTTACTGAATAACTAAAATTGAAATAAACTAACTGAGGATAAACTCTGATAAAAGTAAAATCATAACTTCCATAAAAACAAAAGATATTCAGAATGAGACATGATTTAAAATGAACAATACTTAAATGCTTCAGTTGAGAATAACTACAACTCAAGATATAATTCAAATCAACCTCAGAATTATCATATAAGGTAGAACTTGGACAAAAGTGGATAAAATTTTAAATTTCAAACAAATACTAGTGAATAGAATTAGATTAACACAGTTTAAACAAGAAGATAACATAAGAAAAACTAAAACATGGAGTTTGACTTGGCCCAGCAGAACTTGAAATGTTAGCTAAGTAAGATAAATTGACTTACTAAGTTAAGCAAGATTTGTTAATGTAACTGTTTGAAAATGTATGCACATACAGGGAAAGGATTTTGTTACAGAGGTAACAGAAGGCTGTAGATGTTATCCATTGGTCATTGTTGTTCTAAGGAGATTGGCCCGGCATGGCCAGGTGGTTAGGGCACTCGACTTGCAATCTGCGGGTCGCGGGTTAGAATCCCCGTCACACCAAACATGCTCACCCTTTCAGCCGTGTATTTTTATCAAGTGTCATTTACGTTTGTCATCATGATCGTTGGATTTTAATTTTTGATGTTCATTGATCTATGGCTTATTCTTTTTATTTCCTGTCAGAAAATAGTATTTATGGTTTAAATGTTTTTCTGCATTATTATTAATTGTTTTTGCAATTGTTATCAAACTTGTTTTAAGTTTTTACCTTATGTCCAAGTGCTGTCATGCATTAGAAGAATGGCACCATTTAATGCTAGTTAAATCTTTGCATTAAAATAACTTTTCTTATATTAAAATACACCAGGAATTATATAAAAAACTGAAGAATGGCAAGTTGGTTTATGGCCACATTTCCTAGTAAGAGGTTGAATGAAACCTATCCTTACTTATTTAGCATCCTAAAAGGGGTTGGAAGAAATGATAGACCATTTTTAAAGCAACCTGTACTTGCAGGCAATTTTGACCATTGAAAGTAGAGAAGAGGAAAAAAGGTCACTGGTACATATAAAATACACCCCAATCTTGTGGGTAATATCTGACGGTGTAGTATAACATTAATGGGGCATGGGTGTTTCATAAGCACAATTTGCACTTGTTTGTTATAGGTCTGTATGTTTCCTTTTACTATATTTGTTACATTTGACTATAATTAAAACAATTTTCAATATTCTTTTACCTTCTAGATCTGTTACGCAGTCAGTATAGTTGTTACCTGGATAAGGAACTGGACTAAGTGTAAATCCACAATTAAAGCAATAGTCTTGCTATTGAAACTATACATCCATCTTAATTTTTTAGGCTTAACCTTGGTAAAGCACTAAAGTTACAATAAACAGAACACAAAAAAGAAGTGCCAACAAATAAAAAATAACTCGTACTATGAATCTCTATACAACTATTTAAATTGGTAACTGATTTGCATATCACCACAAAAAAGATGAGTGACAATAGAGGGTCACCATTTAGGGATGATAGACTATTTATAAAATGGGTGGGAGAGGTTACAAATCTCAGTCACAGCACTTCCAAGAATCAAAGTAATAATAACACTCATGTTTGTGATTCGATTATAGTGGAATAGTTAGGGATACTTCAGTTGTTTAGAGTATTGTTAGATTTCAAATAACAATTGACTATTTCTTTCTGAGATTTTTATTGTGGGTATGGTGCACATATGTTTATGGAACTCACTTGGGTTAAGAGGATGTTCTTATATAAAATCAACTTTTAGAGGTCATTCAAGCAGTAACTATTTCTAAATACTGCATAGTATTGTTGGAATATGTAGGGGGAAAATCTAAATAAAAAAACCTGATGAGCAGTGCAAATTATAATAATTTTTTAATATCATCTAAGCATGAACCAAAGCTACTATTGTACATTCATGCACTTTCAGCTCTTCTGCTAATCAACCGAATTCTGCTACTGCCAGTATTTTCTTAACTGTTTAATAATGAAGTTGAACAGAGAATTAACATTTCTAACCCAGAAAATGTTTATCTTGTGCCATGTGAGAGAGAGAGAAAAATATTAATTTGTAAGTAACCAATTGCTTCTGTAACAAAGGAAATAATTGGTATAACTTATTTTGAATCTTCTAAGAATAACCGAAACTGGAAGAATAGTTTAGTTTCATTTCTTCATTGCAAAAGAAAGGTGAAAATTGAGTAAAACCTAAAAAATTTGATAATCAAAATATTTTAGTTCTAATATTTATAAAGAAGACAGTGTAGATGATAATTCAGATCAAACACGTTACTGATGATTATAGTGTACATAAATTAGTGTTTATGGATAGTCAAGTTACCACCATTATGATGGTGCAAAAATTTAAATGTCCATTTACAGACAGAGTAAAGTTATCCCTATTAGCCCATAAAGGTATTGAATGAAAGTTTAGTAAGATATAAGATAATGTATTATGTTTGTTCACCTCAAAATTATATACATGAATTACTATTATGTTAAAAAAAGAACATTGTTTAGTCCTATAACAACCTATAATTGAGGTTACAGTCACATAAAATCTTCTGATAATGTAAGAAGCTTGTGAAAATAAATAATGAATGAAAGCAGAGAATGCATTTACTGTACAATCATTTGAATACATGTAATACGTATACTAAAAAATCCTACAAAGCAAAAACTATGTAATCCTGGCCATAGTCTACCATTGATTATATTTCAAAAATGTTACAATAACAAGTATAATATTTTTAATGAAGTTAATTTTTGCCATAAGGGTCAATATTGTTGTGTTATATCACCAAACTGGTCCTTGCATGTTTTATGGTGTTTTGTATGAACATTTAATTATGGGTTGTTTCATGCCATATGGAAAAACTTGTCTGTTTAATTTGTATGAGTGAGAGTTAAAAGGTTAAAGAAGGTTTTACTGTATATAATTTGTATGAAAAATGTCAAATACATCAAAAGCAAAATCTTTTGGCTTGCATAAATGTTTATACATAAATCTGTTTCTCAAAGGTACAGTTTTTAAAGTGGTTCTGCTACACATCATTAGATAAAGGTGTATTTATAGATTGAGTTATGTTGTGCCACTTTATTAATAATCATAGTTTTTATTTTAAATAATATAATAGTTATACAAGCTTTGCGGGTTTAACACTTACTACTTATCATTGTTATGGTTACTCTGCAGATCTACAAAGACTGTTGTGTAAGCACTGCAACGAAACCTTACCTACGACACAAAGCTCCAGCTCCAGTTACAAATTTGGAATTCTGCCCATATGAGGATGTGTTGGGAATTGGCCATAATAAAGGGTTTACAAGTATTCTTGTTCCTGGTAAGATCATATGTTTTCTGATAAGCTGAAAGAATATTAGTAATTTGTTTAAGCTTTTAAGTTTTTCCATATAATTCTGTCTGATAGAATATTAAAGATTGTGGTTACAAAAGTGAGTTGTTGTTTTTTGGAATTTTGCTAATATTACATTTTATATTTGGATTCTTATGAAAGCCATAAAGCAAGAATAATCACTTTTATTATTTATGAAAGCTTATTTTTATCCATATCGAACTTTTAAAACTTTTTTAGTTACTTCTCTTAAGAGTAATGAGTGTTTGTAATTAATTATTGAAATCTGATTACTTTACCAAGTGGCACCTGTTTCTGTCTCTCATTATTCTTTGTTTAACTAACTTCCAGAGAGTATGTGTAATTTCAGTCCAAACTCTATGCTGATTAGGAAAAATATAGTTATACCCAGTGTCCATTGTCAGTGTGAAGTGTGGCAGCCAGCTTAGAAGCAGTTGTCATGCATATATTTTTTTTTCTGATACTTTAGATGAAGGATTTGTTTTGGTTTCATACTTATAGAGATTTGTGCAATAAATGTATCAAAGAGCCACTGTTGAAAATATGACGTTTATATCAATACAAGATCTAGAATTCTATTATTTATTGTATATGGAAAAAATAAATCTTGAATACCAGTTATTAGCAATAGAGTTTCTTTATATTGTGCTTATGAAGGATTTAACCTATCAGTTTTGTAAAATAATGTACCTGAAATATTATCTATATAACTGTTACGTGAAGGGTGCCATTAATATATTTTAAGAATTCTTTGATTGTGTATTAACCCTCTCTGCATGGGGATCCTTTACTGTGCATGTCACAAGGTTTTTAGTGACTTATACTCAAAATTTACTTAAACTACTTTTTGTTTATGTTATACCGACTAGTATAACATAAAATTGTAGCTAATAATCCATATTTTAATAGTAGTATACGAGTTTTAAGTTCTTAATTTTATGAGGCAATATTTCAAAAAATCCTGAATTTAACCTAGCAAGACACATGTGACACTTTCTCTAGGCATCCCCTCTTCTGTTATTTATTCACCACCTCTCTAAAAAGTAAAAATGTAATGTAAATTACTCATTATCAAATCATCATTGCTCAGACAAAGCATAATTTTTATAGCCTTCAATCTTGTTTGGTTACACAGCCATCAGACCCCTCTTGTCACACCAAGCTGTCACATTCTCTCTTTCAGGATTTGTTAATAAGTTCTCTTATGTTTAATACTATATCATTTATAATAAATAGAAAGCCAAAGTTTTCAACTATCAAATGAGTATTATATTATGTTGTTTTCTGAACAAGGAATTGTCAATTTCTTTTTTAGTAATATTTTGGCTAGTCCTAAATTTCAAACATAGAT